CGCAGAGTTTAAGAGCGTGACACGGCTTCTCCTGACCTTCAACCCTCGTTTATCGGCTGCCGCCTGCCTGGCCGTCTAACTCACTTAGCGTTCGGCTCTCTGCTCTTATCAACGGCTTCACTGACAGACGACGAAGACACCGGAGAATAACTGCCTCACGTTGTCACCGCCAGAACGGCGAGAGAGAGAGAGAAACAAGTAGAGAGAATTGTCGAATGCGGCGGCCTCAACACCCTACAGACTTTGATGGCCCTGAGCCCTGAGATGAAATTTCAAAGTGTTGTCTCGCTCTCTCTCTCTCTCTCCTCATCTTGCAGTCTCGCTGCAGAAGGCAATTACGAGTCCCTGGTCTCCGCGGCCGCCCACCTCCCTGCCGTCTTGTCTTTGCATTCCTCTTTTTTCCTCTTTCCTTCCCTCATTACCCACTTTCCCACTCTCTGCTTTCTCTCTCTCTCTCCGCTGTGAGTCATGCAAATCAGCAACGCTCGCATGGAAAATATATCGGAATCATTAATAATTTTGGGGCAAATTTTCAAAAAGGTGGAGAGGATGCTTGGGAAAAAAATGGCAGGAAGGCAGAGAGAGGCCATTTTAATGGAAAGGAAGTAATCATGGCGGGCCATTCAAGATGAAACGCTGCGGAATCCTTTGACGGCTAAATGACGGCGTGCTGCGCACAGGATGCCCTTGAGCACTGATCCGAGGTCAGCTTTCCTGTATTTAACAACCGCGTGCAGATCTAGCAAAACCTGACCTCAGATCAGCACTGGAGGGCATCTGGCAGCTACTTATTTCAGTAACCAAAATTACAATGGCGGGGAACCTGAGCAGTGTGCAGGTCTGACCAGATCGTATTCTGCTTTTCCCAGGAGATCCGAGATGTTATCTGAGGCGAGGTTTTAGAAATAAAGGTTTCAGTTAGCAAAATGGACTGAACAGGCTCAAAGAACTTTTTAGATATTCGGAAAACAATCTATTTGGGATGTGCCGAAACCTAAATCCGAATTCGGAAAGGCATGGAAAATGAGTAACGCATTCTACGGTGCCCCTAAAGGGACATGGTTAGGCTTGCTGCGGTAATCGGTTACAGATTTCACTTATCACGTGAAGGTAGTAAGGGGAGATGACTGACAGGACGAGTCAGAGGATTTGGTGCGCAACAGATCCTGAGGGTCATTGACAAATATCTTGTAAATGTGCGGTCAGTACCGCCGCTCCCTATACACAGAGTACGCGTGATCGCAAATTCGAAAGTAAAAGTAAAAAGTGAGCACACATTGAAAAAACAATGTCAATCCTCCCCATATTGAGAGGGGAGTGCAAAAATTGCGCACAAATGCCCTGATGCATGCGCATAAATTACATACAATATAATTACCCAACTACAGTATATAATTGCAAGAGAATGCAAAAGCATTGGAAATATTTATTTTTTCTCCCATGTTACAATTTTGTCCCATCATCATTTCCCTTTAGGGACTCGGTAGAATGCGTCATTTCCTTTCCGAACATAGTATTTGGCTTCGGGCACATTCATACAATATATGTACTAGTACTTTGAAGAGTCCAGAAACTATGGAAGCTTGTTTCCGCCACTGAATAAAAAATATAAAAGTTAATTGCGACTTTTTTCTCTCGCAATTGCGAGTTATAAAGTCAGAATTGTGAGTTATAATTTAGCAATTCTGAGAAAAAAGTCAGTTAAGTCAGAAAAAAACTTTTTTTGGCAGATGCGAGTTTATCTCGCAATTCTGAGAAAAAAACTCGCAATTGCGAGAAAAAAAGTCACAATTATCTTTTCAATTGTTTTATTCCATGGTGAAATCTTCCATAAGAAACAAATAAGATAATCTGAATAATTTATCAACTATCAACTTTCCTACTACAGGAACTAGTTCGTTTTCACATTTAAGGAACTAGTTCCGCTTCAATGTTTTGTGGAACTGTTTTTGTTACGCTTTCATAACTCCGATCCCGTATCATTGTTTTTGTTCCTATTGTGTCGCCCTCAAATGAAACATCAAAATCATGTTGAGTCATAATGAATAATAAAGAACTTCATTTTTCAATGAATGCTCTGGTTTCAATACAAGTAAAGCTCTGTGACATAAGGTCAAACACGGAAAACAATCTTGCCTTTCAGTTTGTTAAAACAAGCAAAAATCATTTAAAGTAATACACGTACAACGGAAGTCTACAGGGCAGGCTAAACATTAAAATACACACCATTTCCCAACATAATTTTGAGTGTACTAATCATAATAAGGTGAATATATCACTAAATAAAAATATATTTACATTGCACGTCATATTTAAACCCTTAGACGATGCATTACTGTAAACACGTACAGTATGACAGACCGATCGTCTGTGGTGTTGCATTCTGGGATTGTAAAAGTCTAAGAGTTTGTGAACTGAATCTGGCACCAAATAAAGCGCACAGACTAATTATGATGATGTAAATTTACACCTCCTAACATATCATACAATCCCGTGTTAATGCTCACATAAGCGAGATTTCCATGACGCACTGATAGCCTTTAATCTGCGGATGTAAAAATAATCACCTTGGCAAGATGATTTACAGTATAACTGAGCCATTTATACGTTTTAATTACGGTTGAATCGCCGTTCCGTTCGTCGCGCTTAATTTGCAGAAATTTACCGTAACGTAAATACTTGGACTCACAGGTGGTGTGCATCAACAGCTCAGATGTTATGAATGATTTTTCAACAAAAAAATCATTTAAACGTACGTATTCCAACAAAAGCCTTTTGAGGATGTTTTAAGTGTTTTGTCCCCTTCCATTGAGTCCAAGTTATTAAATTCAGTTTCCTTTAAATCAATTTCCTAACCGAATTACACACCGTCTTATTTTGTTTCGCAGGAATTTTGTCATCTTGTCTCCAGAGTAACAGCTGCTTTTTGACCAGCGCAATGTGGTTTGCTTCGGCCACAATGGTGGCGGCACTTGTGCACAGCTTGTCTTGTTATTGTCACTAGAGGAATAGAATGTCCTTCCCGGCGTTTCTGAAGGGTTGCATTCTGGGAAGTCCCAGACAGTAACAGATGACCAGACCACTGAGGACGAACCTGACAAGCTGCCACTGAAATAGCTCAGAGAGAGACGTCAAATAGTGAGGGACTGTAATAAGACGGCTATTTTCTTGCACTTGGAGACGAGACACAATACTCTTAACAAGAAGACAGCATCCGTCCTCTCCATTATCCTTCTTGTTTCTTTCTCACTTTTGCTCATCTAAACTAGGTTTCAAAACCTAGTGAGTCACTTTTTAAAATAGCGTAAAATTAATGGTTTGACGAATTCTAATTTCCCCTCTTTTTCGCCCTTGGAGTTTTTGCACCACAAGCACTTTGGGCAAGAGAAAAACAGCAGTGTGCGTTTTTGGGTTGCACCTGATACCAGAACCCTTTTTGTTCACCCAGAGGACACGTTGCATCATACCTCATATCAGTGTTACAGCATTGGTCTTACGGGTCCTCCAAAACTCCATCATATACTGCCTGGAAGTTTCAGTATGTCACGCCAAGAGCTGGTCTTACATCAGCTAGATGGCAGACAAACAGTCAGAGGATGAGAAACGCTAGATCAGCAAATCCAACTGATGGCCTTCTTTCCTGTATAGTTCTCTCCCAGCATCCCTAATTAGGGTGCGGAAAGGAAAACAAGAGAAAAATGTTAACCAGTAGGGATTAGACTATGAATATGGCAGGAAATGCAATGGAAAGTAGGAACAAACAAACCTCTGATACCCACCTCAAATCTGCTTTATCTACTGTCTCATGTTTTATCACTATAATGGATCCATCAGTACTAAAGGTCAGTTTGTCTACTGGTCCGACCCCAACTGAGATGCGTGATGTGCAAAGAGCAAATTATAGGGTGTTTCGGCTCTTAGATAACAAAGATAAAGTGTGAAAAAATACTAAATATGAGATGCTTAGCTGAACATTGGGTTTATAATGAATTGTGCAATGCAAAGTCCATATACTGCTATACCTCTAATGCTTCGGCTAAATGGGCCGACAATACATTTGTTTTGGGACTCAGCAATGACTATAAAAACTTCAGATAGCAGTGAGCTAGTATGTCAGAAATATGTATTGACATATTAAGGACATACCAACAAGGCAAGTGAGTTTACTTGCGTTTTTATGCACATTTATGATGCTTCATAACCGAAAATGTGTGAAGACTTGAAAAATCAGTTGTTTTTTTCAGGAAAAGATTAGTTTTAAGCAAAACCTGATTACAGTCTGAAACGTAAATGTAAATATGACCATTTACATTTTTGTGTTTGCACTTTATTTGTGACATTTTATCAGAGTAATTTGCCTTGTGCTTGTCTGTTTTCATTTTACGTTACATTTTATCAGTGTAAAGATCATTATCAGTTTAAGGAAAACCTGATTACAGTATGTTTACCATATGATTTGGTAAAACCTTATTGTATTAGAATAAAGGGTTTTAGCATGAAATGCATTCCGTTTGGCTGACTCAACATTTTAAGACAAATCAAACCCCTTTTTGGGACAAATATAGATAATTTTTTGGCAATTTTTGGATCTGTCTGTCCGTACAAAAACATTTAAAATTTTGACAGATTGCCTGTAGAAAACTGCAGCTAAGATTCCTTGAGTTTCTAAGACTTTTTTCTTATACGAGGTATTAAACTAGTGTGGGCAGCTTAGATTTAGAGACGTCCGTCATTAAGTGCAGCTCAAGCAGTGACTCAGCAGTGCGAATTGGAAAAATGCACTGCAGGTGCTCGGCTCTTTCAGACGTTGCCAGGTCTTAATTTAACGTGCCTGATCCCTCAGCGGACCTCGGCAGCAGCTGTGCGCACCAACACAGGCCAGTGTTTACTGAGCACCACACTATTGGCATACTGTAAAATGATATTTTCCAAGGACACCCCAGAAGGAAATGAGTCACAAGTAAGTTCACTCAGAAATCAAACACTTGCAGAGTAAAGAGTTGCATTTACAAAATGTTTATTTTCTGAACCATCTTTGTGATAGAAAAAAAATACATGACAACATTCCTTATTACCAACAGTAACTGTGACGTAATCTCCTGGAATCAGTCAACATCCGTAAGGACCATCATGCGATTCCATTATCAATTAAGCACCATAAAAAGATAAAGTACCAGCCACTCTTTAGCGTAGAAATGTGCGTTTTATACATAATTAGTCATTTTAATTCTCACCCCCAGCCTTAAACTGTTATAATCTACATTAATACAACCTCCAAAACTACCATACCAGGCCATGAAATGTCTTTTGCATATCTTCTTTTCCAAAATGTTTGCTTATTTAAATACAATGCGTTTAGTTTCAAAAGCCTGTTTCCAAGCCAGTATCCAGCTTGTGCAAACAATATCAAGGGATGTTAGCAGGGGAATTAAGGGTGCTTGTAAACCGGCGTCAGGTACAAGTCTTTTTTTTCGATCCGGGGAATTAAAAATGCACGGAAGCCACCAGGGGCCCATTTGGCTTCAACCCCTGCTGCACCCTCTTGTGAACCTTTCCTTTTTTTTGCGGTCCACTGGCGATGAATGGAGTAAACTCTAGTTGGTTTCAATTCCCACAGCCGCCTATACCAATTTCCTTCTTGTACCTGTTTGTTAGAGTGTTCGCTTTTCGGGTGAGCTTCGACAGTACGGTGTGCAGTCCGGTTAGATGAAAATGAAACAGCTTCTCCAAGTCCTCATCGTTTGGTTCGATGCGAGACACTTCCAGGGACGTTGTCACCCCGTGCTTGTCCTTGCGCCTCTCGTCGGCTTGAAGCACGCCCCATTCGATATCGTTCCTAATTGATTTGAGGAGCACATAAGAGCCGTACATGTCTCCATCCTGGAAGGTGTTCACCTCTTTCTCCTCCTCCTGGTCCAATGGGACGTCCCTCAGCAAACTTGGCACCATGACCGTCTGGTCCATGTTGTTCACGGCACCAATAAACCGGTTCATGGAATTGAAGAGAGAGTTTTTTTGGTTGTAGGATTCGCAGATTTGCATCATCTTTGCTTTTCTATTGACCTGGAGGGATCAAATGCAGAACGAGGCTTTAAGGCTCTGTATAGACAGTAAAAAAGCAGCAGATGTAGTTATTCTTGGGCTGGACGGTTCAGGTAGATCTAATAGAGGGTTTATCCGCTATTATTCTGGCCCTGGGAGTGCTCAGATCCCTTGTGCGCTTCAGAAGAATGAGTTTTTGAAAGCGCAGGTGGATTTAAAGCAAGGGTGTGGCTTCCACACGTCAATCAAGCGTGTAACCAGGTTGTAACCAAATAATGTGACCTGAAATAACATGCGTGAAAGATTAGGGGTCGATGCACACAATATTACATAATCAAAATAAATATCAGTGTGGAAATAAAAATTTGGAAGAGAAAGCAAGATACATAAATAATACTATTACTAATCTTTCTATAATATTTGCAATGATTTGAGATGAAACTGTTCAATTATTTTAAGTATTTAGTAAAGCTAAACCTGCTCAACTTTAAATTTGTATTTAAAAACGGTGATCAGAACGTGATATTCGCTTCCTACCACTCCTTGATTTCCTGAAGGAAAAGCCGGCCGGCAAACTAAGCGTCAATCTATCAAGGCTAACAAATCATATAGGCTTCTAAATACCCACCTTTGCTGATATTTATCCTCTCTTAATTTCGAAAAGGTCCGGCAAAGTCCAAGGAAACCGGCGATAAAGTCGCTGAAAGATAACAGACTCGTCTACAACCGACCGAGGGTGAGGCCGCATGTAGCTCTATGGCGCTTATGAATATTCATGAGACGAAGCATCAGCCCACAACCGCTCAGCCGCTCTAGTCCAATTAGAAGCCAGTTGCTCAGTTCATCCAGGAGGACGGCGCCTGTCAACAGCCAATCACAGGGAAGAAAGGGAATCCGGCAACGTGCCAAGCCTGCAGCTCACGGTCAAAGACACGACAGTTTGAAAGAAAAGGAGAGTGTACGAGGGAACTACCGGACTGATGAAAGTACCTTACTACTCGTAGTGCCAAAAAGGGTTATTCCATCGATTTATTTTCACTTCGGAGTTGTTGTTTTTTTAAAACCAAAACACGGTTTATAGAACAGGCCAAATAGTATTTTGGCGTAATATGGCAAAAAGAATATAGATATAGCCTACAGACACAGTCATAAACTTTCGAAAAAAATCCCATTGCTGTCTCTTCACATCATTAGAAAGGCATTTTATAAAAGATAAAAGCCATTTAAAGATGCTATTTTTTCAAAAAGAGACCAAAATACACAGTCTATACTAATATACAAAATACACAGTCAAATATGCTTCATTTATTTGTTTAAAAACGTGCTAAGGTTATTTCTGAGGAGACTGAATGCAAAGCCTGAACTGATCAGTGGAATTATGCAAATGCGAACTTGCAAATATAATATGTGCTAATATATTTAATGACTTGGGAAAAGGGTGAAAGTCAAAAATCAAATGCAGATCTACATACAGCGGCATCAAAAAGTATTTGTACACTTAAGGCACCTTTTCAGTCATTGTTTTGTCTAATAATATCAAGGAAACAAGTGGAATTTATTGTACAGAAAGATAAAGGCTACAAGAGGACACGTCACAAAAAGTTTGTTTGGGTTTTAAGTGATAAAACAATAGATAAACTGTTCAAAATGAGATTAAAACTTAGGCTATTGGACACTTGGTTATCAAAGGTTAGTGGAGAATGTTCAGTCACCAATGTCACTGTCGGACATTAGATAGTGGGACTTAAAGGGATAGTTCACCCAAAAATGAAAATTCTGGCATCATTTACTCGCCTTCACGTTGGAAGTCAATGTGGTCCATCAACTGTTTGGTTACCCACATTCTTCAAAATATCTTCTTTTGTGTTCAACAGAAGAAAGAAGCGCGCATACAGGTTTGGAACAACTTGAGGGTGAGTAAATGATGACTGAATTTTCATTTTTGAGTAAACTATTCCTTTAAGTGTTCAAATACTTTTGGGGGGCCACTATAAGATCTGCTGATGATCTCAGAGTCCTCAGATGACACGATATCTGCACTAAGATCCATGTTTGCATGGGCTTTCCCCGTTCACGGAGGTCTCCTGTCGCTGCGGTTGCGTCCCCGTTACGTTTTTCAACAACATCGTGGTGCCATCTAGCGGTCAGGAATGGAATAAGAAACCTGCTTTCAAGCCGTGATAAAACCAGGATAAAACAAGCTTTCACATGACATGATCCCATGGGAATCCATTCATCCATCCAGTTCAAACAATAACACACACATTTCAAATAATGACAAAACAGAAGCTGGTAACGACGAAGAACCATTTTATTCATAGAGTTCACGGTTGTTTACAATATCAACGTACATTTTGTTGGCATGCTAGCTGGTGGTGCATTTTAAAAAGTTTTATTATTATTATACAAAGTATAGTATTACTCCGCTCGTCTATTTGAAGATGTGTAGTTCATCACGTGTTTTCAGACTATGAATTCTCGACTCTAATACTTAATGACCCATCAACACATGGGGCAGCTGCAGAAATGATTGTTAACATATTAATAATATTTATAAGTCTGTATGATAATAAAATTAATGATCAATGAGAAAACCATACAAAACAGCAACACAAAATTAAATTCAAAAAGACAGATGCACATTGACACACGTAAATGGAATTCGTTAACAGTACTTCACAGAACGATTCGAAATTAAAGAAAGCCAAAGACTGCAGCGATTTCTACCACAAATGTAAATAAATAAACAATAAATAAACAACAGAGGTCACTAAAGCCTGGCTCATGTGATGATAGTGATGCTTCTAGAATTCCTTTGACTCAGACCTCCAGAAAATCTGCGTTTATTCCTCTTGATAGAGCTGTAAATCAAATTTCTCCAGCGTTTTAACTAGACATCTGTTTTTAAGAGCTGTTCTCCTGCCAGCATAATCACTCTACCGTGACCATTTTTTTTTTACTTTGTACTTTTTTCCATTTGTCTGTGATCTGGTTGTACGGAGCCCCTAAAGGGGACATGGTGGGGGGAAATATGGGATGGGATGGGATGGGAGGGGGAAAAAAATATTTCAATGATTTTGCGTTTTCTCAAAAGTTTTGCCAGTGAACGTAAAAGCATTAAACAATTTTTTCTTATATATATATATATATCCATCACCATGTCCCTTCTAGGGGCTCCATATGGTTGTGATTGTTTATAGTGAGTAATATATATATAGTATAACATTTGAATTTTTTTCAAACAATATAGCATCCTTAGAAATATCATTTGTCATACCAAAATTCTTTCATATTTCTCATGCAAATATTCATCTGCTTGAAAATTACTAAAAATTCTCTGAGCTGTAAAGCAAGAACATCCTCAATGCTGAAAGAGACGCCATGTGTGATTACATTCTTACAGAAAAACACCACAAAATAAAAGCAAACACAGTGTGTCACAAGGTAGATGGTGTAAAACTGTAACTACAATCCATAAACGGTGGAATTTGAGTGTTTAGTTAGTACTCTGAAATATCTGCTTGTCTTACAACATTGTAAAACTACTAGTTGTGATGTTCACACTTCAGTTTGAACTTATTTAAGTTCTGTAGCCTATGTGGCAGAAAATTGCTTGTTTTTGGCTTTCACAACAAGACAAAATTGACACTTTTGACTGTACATGATTATGTCGAGTCACTTTCAACCCGGCGTTGAGACGTGGAGAAAAAAAATTAATCCAAATCATAAAAGACAAAAAAAAAAGAAGCCATTTCTGAGATAAACCCCTTTGCCAAAGATTTTACAACAGCAACAACAACAATATTTTTTTTTCTTTTTAAAAAGTTTTTCCTCCCGAAACAGCACGTTACTAACAAATCTGCATTGAAGTCACTTTTTAGGGGTCAAGTAACACCATGCCCTAGCCAAGTGTGCGAAGTTTTGAATGTAAAGCAATTGCTATGCCAACACTGAGTAAAAATACTGTGCAAAGCCACGAAATAGCCAATCAGAACATACACAGCTATCTGGACCAATGAGATTTCACTGTGGGCGGAGCTACCAAGTGCAAACTAAGCCGACAAAATGGAAGATAGCTAAGAAAAAAAAAAGTCTTCTCAACCAAACATTTGATAAATAACTAACAAATCACTCAGTGGCGTTTATGTCCAAACCAAGTATTAAGTCATTTCTCTGTCTGAAATAGAAAATTCTGTGCAAATTGACAAAACCACAGCTAATCTGAACATATTTGATACACAGCTAGAGAAGGATTGAGAGATCGATTACGAGAGGTTAGGACGTGGTGTTACAGAAACGCTGCTGACTGTAGTTGTAGTGTGTGATGGTTTTCGCATGCAAGGTTTTTGTACAGTAAAGTAAAATACAGGAGTGCGTCTTAAAACCATTTCCTTTTCCTCGCTAACGTTGACGTTTCGAAGGGAGAGGCTTTGGTCATCATGGCACAACTGCACAGTTAAGGAATGACGGAAGGGAGAAAAAAGAAGGCAGGAAAGACAGAATGAAAGATAAAAGCAGAGAGAGAGAATATATAAAAACAGATGAGAAAGAATGGAGTGTGCTAGCATTTTTGGGTTGCTTTCCCTTTCCAAGGTGTCGTACGTCTTCGGCGTCTGTAGAACCGGGAAAAAGAGGTTTAAACATTTCGAAGAATCTTCGTGCAGTTTTTCACAGCAGCGTTCATAGTGGCCACAATCACCCAAAAAATGGGCATTTACATTAAATGTTAAACTTTATTCCAAGTCGTATGAAAATCTATTCACTGAAAATCTTCTCCAACTGCAGCTCTAAAATCTCCTTTTCCACTCCACATATTTAAACAGGCATAATCAAGTTCATTTACAAAACACATTTTGATGCAATTCTAAGGCATCATCATTGTGTTATTTAAATATTTTAATTATAAATGTTTTAAAAAATATATTTCCAATAACCTCACAAAAACTTTACAAAAAATGTGAATATATATATATATATATATATACAAATAAATAATATATATATATAATTGACCAATTTTAAACATTTTAAATATTTAAATTATATATATATATACTGTGTATAAAAAAACATACACACACAAATAAATAATTAATATATATATAATCTACAAGTTTTAAACTTTTTAAATAGTTATTTAAATTATTATTGAAATTATATATTTAACCAAATATTTTCATTATATATAATTAATATATATAATTTACCATTTTAAACAATTTAAAATGTTTATTTAAATTATTATTGAAATTATATATTTAATTAAATATTTTCATTATTATATTATATTACATTCCTGCATATGCATGACAGGAACGCCCAAAAAACCCCGGCTGCCTTCTAAGAAAATGCGTACTGAAAATATTGTATTTAATATTAAATACTTTGTCTGATATTTGTATTTTTATGCTTATTAGAGCATTGAGCTGTTAGCTTAGCAGCACAATAACGTCAAACTCAACTGAAATGAATGCTTACATTCATGTGCTATCAGAATTTTTGGTACATATGAGTTTCCTAGTTCACCTGTGCACACGCCGCTACACCATCTCGTACTGATTGGCAGTGATGAATCGTGACAGACAGCAGGCCAACAGCATCCCGATCAGCTGAAAAACACACATGCACCGTTACCATGGTAAAACTGTTTTCCAGAGCTTTTTTCTGCTCCCTCTGCCAACGTAATTGCTAATTAAATTAAATTGTGGTAGTCGTTCCTGCCGGCTGCTCTGCTGGGTTTACGGTTCGCTCTGCTCCGCGCTCAAGAAATTCTAGTTATAATCATAATGAATGTTTACTGATTCCCATTTAACCGAGCCAAAAGAATTCCACATGCGCTACGCAAGATTAGACGTATTAGCGGGGCCGCGTCTCTAAGAGATGTCATTGATTCGGGCCGCCCGTGTGCTCGCAGATAACATTTACAGTTCAATTAGCATGATGTGTGCGCGTCAGAGGGGTCGAGGTGTTCCTCTGTGCCCCTTTGGACCCATTAGTACGGATGGAGAGATATCTGCATAATGGTCCCGAGGCGGAAGCGTGAGTGACAGAGGGCCTGATTGTGTTTGAAACGGCACGTTCGCTAGCAAACCCCAGCTGCGCCACACGCTCGGCTCCCGCATGTGTGTCTATGTGTGTTTACTAAATGAGGGCTGGGAAAACACAGACAGCCCGGGGTCGGCGTTCACCGCGGGGTTGTCATGGCAGCGCGGCTCTCGCTCCAGCTTTTAGACGCGAGCACACGCGGCGCTACCGAGTGACTCATTTCGACGGCGTATAGCGCTACACCTGTGTGAGACAACACCAGCCAGCTGTTCAACTCGCTTCGGCGGTAAACGGAAAACAGATTGGAGTAAATATTAGCTTGCAAACGCCTCAGATGCGATTATGGCATCTCAAGGAGAGGAAAAACATTCCTAGGCAGTCTAGTGTGTGATTCATTCATCAAGTCTAGATGAAAATGAAGGTAATAAAAGATCAACCAATCAAACCAATTCAACCAAAATCAACCAATTGCATGAGTTTGGGGCGGGACTATCTGTTTCGACCAATCAAGAGGTCATTTACATATACATGTCAGAGATAATTTACATTTAATGCTTAAAAAATGGAAGCTTGTTTCCGCCAAGGAATAAAAAAATATTGTGACTTTATTTCTCGGAATTGTGACTTTATTTTGTTGGTATTGCGACTTTTTTCTCAGAATTGTGAGTTTATATCTCAAAATCCTGACTTTATAACTCACAATTGTGAAAAAAAAAAAAAGAGTCAGGATTACAAGATGTAGAGTTTTCAAAAAGTACCAACTTCGGTTGCAAGTTAATTGCGCGATTCCGCTCAACATTGCTCAAAGCGTCACAATTTAAAATTTCAGTACCAAATTGGTACCGAAGTCTGTATTTTTGGACAAATCTAGCAAGATGTAAACTAAAAATTTGCGGGATAAAAAGGCAGAAAGTAAAACAAAATAAAACAAAAGTCTAGAATATTCTGCCACAGAATCAAAAAGTACAAGAGGTAATTGCGACTTTATTTTGTCGGAATTACGACTTTCTTTTGCCGGAATTGCGACTTTATTTCTCAGAATAGCTAATTTATTTCTCAGAGTTTATATTTCAGAATTGCAACTTTATTTCTCAGAATTACAACTATTTCTCAGAATTGCGAGTTTAAATTTCAGAATTCTGACTTTATAACTTGCAATTGCAAGTTTATATGTCAATTCTGAGAGAAAAAAGTTCGATTGCGAGATGTAAACAAAAAATTTAAGATAAAAACGCAGAATTGTGAGATAAAAGGTAGCAATTACCTTTTTTTTTATTCAGTGTTGAAAACAAGCTTCCATATAAAACAAAAATGTAGAATATTAAAAAAGCTGATTTTTAAAAAATAAAATAAAATGTTTCAATTAATTTAACATTTAAAGTTAAAACAATTAAAATATAAGTATACAACATTTAAAAAAAGTTAAAATAATAAAATTCTTTTCAGTATTTGACAAGTCCCTATCTCCACAAATAGTGTGACTAAAAGATGGAAATAGCCTCCATCCTACCTGCGAGAATGCAATTCCAAATGTTACTCCAGCGATAATGCCCATGTTAGTCTCAATAAAGGTCGTCACTAGCTCATAGCAGCCCTGAAAACAAAAGAATAATTATAAATAGATGAAAAATAGATGAAAATGAAGACAGCCAGCCTGCGTGTTTGTGCGAGTGTGTGTTACCTGCTGATAGACTTTGGTGGGCGCTATGGTGGCGTTTCTCAGGTCTGAGGCGTTGCAGTCGGAGATGTTAGCGCAGCAGCTCGGAGGAAGTCCATTCGCAGGGTAATAAACACTGGAGAACCAGCTGGTGTAGTTCAGAACACCGCAACAACGCAACTAAAGACAGGAAATACAGTGAGAGAGAACTCAGACCAGAGGTCACAACAGGTAACAGGAGATCTATCTGCATAACCACCACCCAGAAAATCTTAGCTACACCCTAACAATAGCCCGTAACACCTTAACAACTCCCTAGCAACTACCTGGCAACCACCCATAACATTCTTGCAACTGCCTAACAACCACCCAGGATTTCTCAGAAATGACCAAGATCTTATATCACGATATGAATCATTTTCTTTTCAAGATAACGATATAAATCACAATATCATTCTTTTTGATTTAAAAAAAGGCTTTTATGATATCATTTTTGATACAATTGAAATTTCATAATTATTGTCACCATTTTCAATATCACAAAAAAACTAAAACTAGCCAAAGTAAAAAAAAACTTTAAAAAAAACTTGCTGAAGACAAGTAAACAGTGATGAAATAAGAACAAAGAAACTAATAACAACCATATAGGAAACCAAACTACAATAGAACAAAGACACAAATTAAATAGACCTGAAAAACTTCAAGCACTAGAAATAAGAAATACTACAGTAATCAAATAAAAAACACTGCATACACATCTAGAACACCATTGCAACTGCCTAAAAACTACCCAGAATATCTTAGGAACATCTAAGAAACAACATCAGAATACATTATCCAGCCAATAGGAAAGTTTGTCATTATAAACTCTCCTTTTCATAGTTTTAATGCTGATTATTAAAAAAAGTATTTTCCAGTTATCCATTAGAACACATCACATTAGATAAACTGATGTTAACCAGTGTTTGAACGTACACTCCTCTGGACTTTGTCCACCGCAATGCTTCTCTCATCCCGGGTGTTATAGTTCTGAACAGCTTCGTTGTACGTCCTCAGGAAGGTGCCTTTGATCTGAGGGAACACACACACACACACACTCCATCAGATGTCACCAGAACAAGGCCTCATAGAGCGAGACAGATGGAGATCCCCGCTGGAGAACCTGCGTGCGCACGTCTCACCTCATGACGGAAAACAAAGCCCGAGATGCCAGCGACCAGCTCTGCCAGGAAAACCAGAGACAGGAACATGGCGTACTACAGACAGAGAGAGACACATTAGGGCCGTCACTTGATGTCCAGTGTAAAATCTGCTTCCTGAAGCTAAACCAGCAGCGGGCTCTCACCAGTTTGAGCATCCATGGACTCCCGCGGCACGTGGCGAAGCATCCGAACAGCCCGAACACGATGATCGTAGTCCCGGTCCCGATGAGCACGAAGGGAGCATTGGTGGAGTTTTCAGCGATCAGAGAGATGTACGGACCCAAAATGAACTTCCCCCATAATCCCACTGCCAGCAGGACCGCCCCCGTGATCTAGAGAGAGAGAGAGAAACAACATCTGAACTTTTATTGTTAAACCCTTCTGGTGAGTACTTGTACAGATTTGCTACCATCTAGTGGACAACACGTGAACATAGCAAAACAATTTGATCACAATATGGAAATATTGATTCTGATGAATCAATAATGACATTATGTGTTCGAATATTTTATTATAATGACACCAATTTGAATAATTTGCCAATTTTTTTATTAGCAGCATTGGTATTGTTCCCTTATTTAACAATTAAAATAATTTTCTATAATTGAAAGCTGAAATAAAATAAAACATAAATATTAGTGCTGTCAAATCGATTAATCACGATTAATCGCATCTAAAATAAATGTTTGTAAAAAATATACACACATATATTATATAATATATATGTACAAACTTTTATGTTAGATGCGATTAATTGTGATTAATCGATTTGACAGGACTAATTAAATATGAGATGGCTGTAAACTTGTATCGAAGTACTAAAATGTAAATAAATAAAAATTAACGAAAGCTAAATATAAATATTAAAAAACAAATTTGACAAAAATACATAACATTATTAAAATTGTAACTATTTAAAAAAATACTTAAAATAAATACTAAAATAGTACTGCCGATTAGCTGTGCAAGTTTCATGTTTTACGGTAGATTATTTAAAATAATTTAACTTCAAATCAATATCTGCAATGTGCTTAAATCTGTAACATCAAAATGTTCAGATTTGTTTTGTGTTGTTTACATATGAATTCTTTGTGATTAGTTTTAGTGTTTACTGATTAGTATTTTGAAAGTTTTATATACGCTCATTATTGGCTTCAATATTTTTTTTTAATATATGAAAATAAAAGATTATTTTGGTAAGATCTTACATAAAAGCAAAAGTAACTTTTGCTACTGAGATTTGTCAAAAGATACATTAATAAATAGAAAAGACATCACAAAGGTTGTTTTCAAGATTTTAAAATATATGTAAACATTTTTAAAACAAGATGTTTTCAGAAAATTTATCTTTAAAAAAATATAAGTATATAAATTATACAAATGTATATATAAAAGTGTATAATACATTTATAAAATTCCAGATTATAAATAAAATATTTTTCAAGATTTGTTTTACTTATTCAAAGCCTAAACCCCAGTAAATGTATTCATTAATTTTCTAAAAAGCAATTTGTTACATTTTAGTCACATAAATATGTACCACAAACAACTGTGCAAATGTGAGTTTAGCGTGTTAACCAGAAGAGGGCGCTGGTGTATTGATCTTATCCATCACTAGAAGGTTCTGTGAACGCGGTACTCATTGAGGGGTGGCGGGATGTCACCTACAACGGCCCTAACGGAGACAGTGAATGTTTAACTCTTATGAAAATAGCCTAAATAAACCTCATGAAAGATATGTATGTATCTAAGCACGTTTCATTTCTCCTGCACAACACACAAAATATAAAAAAAGCAAACAAAAGATGACAACACAACAAAATTAGCTTACATTTTAGAAAAAAAGATGACAACACAACGAAAACAAGATAATATTTCTCTCTCTTATAATTCTAGACGGTTACAAGACTTTCAATTACAAATGTGCCAGGGTAGTATTAGGCCTACCATGTTTTGGACACCATGTACCATGGTAATCTCACTAATCTGGTAAACAAATGCTAATCTAGAATGATTAGCATATTCACATGCTACGTTGTTTGCATGATATCTGAATATGCTAATCATTCAGGTTACTGAATTAATTATTTTAATCATCTTTACTTCAGAAACTAGAAATGAATGAGTTACGGCTGTTGAGATCATTCTCTCGGTGTTTATCAAGTTTTTATCAGCAGTCTGGAAGGCCTGCGGGAGAAAGTCGCCTTCGGCTTGTGTTGAGCCAGTTTAGACGGCTAGTGGACGGATCACAGATTCAACATGATGGACTGAACATAGATCAGCATGAAATCATCACAGAAATAATGTCTAAACTGTCCTGACTCCTGACTAACATCCACGCATCCGACATGAGCATTAGCGGGGTGCTAGCAAGCGCACACAATGCTACCCACAGAAATGGCCATGAATATGTGAACCCAACATCCTACTCAGAACAGCAGCGCTATAAGATGCTGTCAGCTTGCCACCTCTGAAAGAGTCCTAGCTCTCATGGATGTGCTAATGATGGTGTGAAGAGCTGTAGCGGCACAAGCAAAACGCAAAACCTAGCGAGCTGCTGCCTTGGTGTCTACCGTCTCCCTGAGGCAGCATCTAAACAGGAACCATAAGAGAGTACTCATATAAATAGAGTTTGTGTTAGCATGTTGCTAAGCTAACAGTGCAACACAATGATACTGAAATTGACAACAAATACATAGCAAAATATACACAAACAGGCAAATATGTTAAATTCTGCTATAGTACTTTGTGTCATTAGCATGTTGTAAGCGAACAGTTTTCTTTTTTCTTTTTTCAGAGCATTTTCTTTGGTCAACAGTTGCAAGCCTATGATGCCATAAAATGCTTTCTAGATAGGCAGCGCACTAGGTTTGAGAGAGAGCTACATAGAGAGAGGTACAGAAAGTTTTGTCCATACTCAATAGTACCACCATCTTGTCATTCAGACCATGTCCACCATCGCACAGAGGACACAGTGTCCCGTCTCCATCTCACACTGAGACACAGAGAGACGGAGAGAGAGAGAGAGAGAGAGAGAGAGAGAGAGAGAGAGAGAGAGAGAGAGAGAGAGAGAGAGAGAGAGAGAGAGAGAGAAGAGAGAGAGAGAGAAGGAGAAAGTGCACAGATGGTGTGACTCATCAGGGATTCGAGAGAGAGAAGAGCGAAGAAACGGCTCTAACTTTCAGGAACGAAAACGTAAAGTGCGAAATACTTTGAAATCTCTTGATTACTCTTTGACAGACAGCTCTACTGTCTTTTATTTAAAAGCTGAAGATGTGTGTCACCCACACACAGAGGTATTTGGATCTTGTTCCTTTGTCCATTATGATGATGATCCTAAAAATAGAAAAAAAATATGATGTATTGTATGACTTATAGCTTTCATTTTATTTTATAGGATGAAATATGAGTCATTTCATGAGACTTTTCAGATGTTCTTGGAAAAACAGAGACATAAGAAAAGAATGAAAGAAAAGAACAGAAACGAAGCGAGAGAAATGACAAGCCATCCGCTATATACATACATCATGACGCAAAACTACATAGAGGAGCAGAACTTGTGTGTGTTTCAGTGTAAAGTCTGGCAGAAGAAAACGTTTACTGAGCAGAAGGATATACATTATTCATCCGTACTTCTGTCATCCCTCTCTCTCTCTTACCCATGTGTCTGTTAAACAAAGCCATGAGAAAACCTGCAAGATCACTCCACGAAACTTTAAAAAGACAAAAACAACAACAAAACTACTAATGTACTTTCTTTTCGAGGTTTTTTCAGTTCATGTATTCCCTGGGAATCAAAGCCATGACCTTGGTGTAGCTTGGAGTCAGTTTTCATTTCCCCCTGGAAGAGCCGACATTAAACCGGATCTCAGCCGCACGTTTCTGAACATCTCAGTTAGGAGACGCTTTCTGTCCCCTGACACTCGCATTTGTCTGCTAACGAAATGGGAAGCATTCATTTCTTCAAATGAATGGCAAATTGATGTGGCTCGGCGGCGTTCGTCTTTGATATGTCAGCGACGCCTCGAGTTACACACGATCCAGAGCTTAAAAAAGACTAAATCTATTATAGCTCTCGTCATTGAGAAAAAAAAACACTCCACGACAGCAGAAGAGGCGGCTGCCATGGCAACGTTTCCATAGTGACATGTAAATTCCTTTGGCGTTCTCAAATATGCATATGCATTTTCCAGTAAATATTAAGAATCAGGGAGCAATACCTGACATAAATTAGCATATAGAGTCAGAATTCGCTCATTTTACATTTACACAGTGGCTACATGCAAAAAGCAATTAAAAATATTAAAAACACTCCATTATTACTATTTTGCCTGTTTCCCAGAGTAGTATATATATACACTCACCGGCCACTTTATTAGGTACCCCATGCTAGTAACGGGTTGGACCCCCTTTTGCCTTCAGAACTGCCTCAATTCTTCGTGGCATAGATTCAACAAGGTGCTGGAAGCATTCCTCAGGGAGTTTGGTCCATATTGACATGATGGCATCACACAGTTGCCGCAGATTTGTCGGCTGCACATCCATGATGCGAATCTCCCGTTCCACCACATCCCAAAGATGCTCTATTGGGTTGAGATCTGGTGACTGTGGAGGCCATTTTAGTACAGTGAACTCATTGTCATGTTCAAGAAACCAATTTGAAATGATTAGAGCTTTGTGACATGGTGGAAGTAGCCATCAGAGGATGGGTACATGGTGGCCATAAAGGGATGGACATGGTCAGAAACAATGCTCAGGTAGGCCGTGGCATTTAAACGATGCCCAATTGGCACTAAGGGGCCTAAAGTGTGCCAGGAAAACATCCCCCACACCATTACACCACCACCACCAGCCTGCACAGTGGTAACAAGGCATGATGGTTCCATGTTCTCATTCTGTTTACGCCAAATTCTGACTCTACCATCTGAATGTCTCAACAGAAATCGAGACTCATCAGACCAGGCAACATTTTTCCAGTCTTCAACTGTTCAATTTTGGTGAGCTCTTGCAAATTGTAGCCTCTTTTTCCTATTTGTAGTGGAGATGAGTGGTACCCGGTGGAGTCTTCTGCTGTTGTAGCCCATCCGCCTCAAGGTTGTGCGTGTTGTGGCTTCACAAATGCTTTGCTGCATACCTCGGTTGTAACGAGTGGTTATTTCAGTCACTGTTGCCCTTCTATCAGCTCGAACCAGTCTGGCCATTCTCCTCTGACCTCTGGCATCAACAAGGCATTTCCGCCCACAGAACTGCCGCTCACTGGATGTTTTTTCTTTTTCGGACCATTCTCTGTAAACCCTAGAGATGGTTGTGCGTGAAAATCCCAGTAGATTAG